CTCCAAGCCGAGGTCAAGAATGACTCAACGACCAGCCGATTGACTCAAACGGAGCCTGATTTGAGCCTCCCGTTTATCCGAAGCAGGGGCCAAAGCAGTGTGTTGGGGACGTTATGTTGCCCCTCAACTACCAGGATCCCCCTTTCCGGCATACGGGACACCACACACGGCAAACACGTGGGTGGGCGTTCAGATCCCAGGGATGGTAAAGAGGAATTACTAAACCATCTCTGGGAGGTCCCCTCACCACGGACAGGAACCCACATCGAGGGGTTTGCTATTTACTTTTTTTCATATTATAGGAAATAGTCATACAACTATGTAATAAAAATATTGTCACACATGTCTATACTGTATCATTATATAACATGTAAGGCTTTTATGTTATTGTCAATCTGCATTTATGTTAAATCCTACTCACCAATGTCGTAAAACTAACCTTAATTTTTTTGTGTAATTTTAACAGCACTGAAGAGGGGTTGGGAATATAAGCCAACCTGAAATGCATCTGAATTAGAAATTTTTAAATAAAACGTAACGTTTTCTAACCAATTGCTGTTCGTTCGTCTACCAATTATCTTTTTGGATTACAAAGATGCTACACACTGCATTTACAAAGATGCTACACACTGCACTGATGATACAGCAACCACGTCCTCTACATTAATAACCCAATAATAGTTTTGGAAATGAAAATTAGAGTGCAGGTGGGTTATTTGGTAGCATAATTAGTAATACAACTGCACAATGAATAGAAGTAATGAGTTGTAAGTAGAAGTCCTACTCCAGATCAATCACCTTTAGTACAGAATTACTTAGTTATTATGATTAGTCCAGCCAAAGAATAGACCAAAGAAATGTGGCCATATTTAGTCAATATCTAAATATATTAAACATAATTTTTTAAATAAACTATTAACTATAACAATACATTAAATGAAAATTTTATAAATCGATAAAATTTATACAAAATGTTTGGGTATGGAAAGCCCAAAGATTCTAATCAGCCAAAATATTTTTGTTTTGAGGATAGAACTGTAGTGGTGATCTTATATGAATTACAACATTTATACATTATCTCTTTGTACATATAATTGTGTTAGAAATTGTGTAGAACTGAATAAATGTTTGTCTGTGTTTTTGTCACATCAGTAATAAGATTTGTTTTACTGGCATTTTTGAAAAACAATTATAAGAAAATATTATTCAGTCAAATATTAAAATTTAATTAACTCCCCTCTGAAAGTACAGGCATTTCCACTTAACCTCAATAATCCATTTCTGATAATCTGATGTCATGAAGAGAAACAAATTTGAAGCCAATTTCTCATTATTTTAAATGGGAAAAATTATAATGCATTACGAAGTCAAAACAAACACCCCAACTAATTTCCAAAAGATAATAAAATGACTGTATAAAATTAACAAACTAACATATTAAGATTAAAATTTTTAACCCTCCGTAAGTCGCTAGGAATGGGGCCCTTACTTGAGTCGCATGGGTCTTACAGACCCAGTGTTTTTAATATGAAATAATTCAATTTTATCTATCGCGTAAAGANTTAAAACACTTTCTAATCACCAAACAGTTAACATAATCATATCAATATAATCATCACAATATTACTGGTGTAGAATTCAATAAATAAGTACGCAATTACCTATAACCAGCATTAATTCTCTTATAAACAAACGTTTTCTTCTGTCTTTAATGGTCATCATCAAGTTTCTATGCTTTGGAATGTTTGTAAAAGAACACATCTTCCAAAAATTTAAAAATTGCATGTCTTGAAGATACGTGCATGCTCAATGTAGCTCTTTAAAAAATGAGTCTTCAAACTGGCTTCCTATTTTAGAAATTTGATGTTTATATAAATTACTGTATAAAGATAAACTTGATGATGACCTATTTTACATCAAAATATGTCCTCCATGCAGCTGCCAGCGAGTCCATTTCTTTAAAATTGATGGCTGTTTCCCTCTTGAGCACTTTAAATATCTCCAGCTGTTCGAGATATTTTAGGCTGGCCTGGTTCTCACACCATCATAGTAATCGTGCATTATTAAAGTCCACTCTGATGTCGTTATCAATGGCATAAGAAGCCAATGCTGTAGCAGAGAGACCTTTTTGAATGGAGTACTGTATTTATGTTCCTTGATCCTTGTTTTAAGACAACGTGTGGTAGCACCAATACAGTAGACCCCCTATAAAATGGGTTCCTATAATTACGATTCCTATAAGACAGCAAAAAAATTGCAACGGTATCCGTAAAAAATGGTAAAAAACTCCTATAATTACGTAAAACGCGTCATCGGGTAGCCGAACTATTTTCCACCGTCAAGTGCCACGCTACGGAGAGATTACTATCGTCTGTACAGTATTATATATAAATTAGATACTGTACATATAATTATATATTAATTATATATAAATTAGGTACTGTATATATAATTATATATTAACTTAATTTATTGTAACTTTATTATAATTATATATTTTCCACCACCTGGCGCCACGCTACGGAGAGTTTAGGCAAACTATCGTCTGTACAGTATGTAAATTAGGTACTGTAAGTGTAATACAGTACTGTAATTTTATACATTTCTTGTGAAAGAAACGTTTCTTATTCAATGGCGATTAAAATTATTTATATTAATGATGTCTCCAAAGTTCAACGAAGTTTTCGCAGAAAAATAACATCAGAAATCGCGGCCGCAGTTTGCTGCGCTGTTCCGCGACGAAAACAAGCTTGAGCAATGGTGATATCGAATGGTGCAAACTCAGTAAGTAATCCTACAATTTTTTGTTTATAGCGTAGTTTATACGGATTATTCCCAAAAAAATATATACATATTTTGGAAATGTTGAGTCGGATTAGTCTAGAATCGATTAATTTTATGGAAGAAAACCTTTCAAACAGCCATAGTCCGTAAACTTCACACGTGTCAGGCTGTGATTCTTACAAAATTGATTCATAAAAAACGGAACGTATCTACCGTCTTATAGGGGATCGACTGTATTAGAAATAAAACTGCTTTTTCTGGAAACCAAAGTTTATTTGTGTATTAAATATTTTTTTCATTTGTAGTAAATTGCCAATGATGTTCTGTTTTTCAAACATTTGTATCTACAAACTAATAACAGCCTAAGATAGCAAGATATATTCGTTTTATACAAATGAACTTTGGTTTCTAGGAAGCAAACTTTATTTCTAATAATTTAACTTTCCACTTCTGTTCCATTTTTCAAATATCACTTTGTAATCGGTTCAAACATGGTTACTCTCTAAGAATGATCACATCCACAGATTCCAAAAATATTAGCCAATCAACAACTAGGTAAAATAAAGCTAGTACTTTTGAAATCTGTGGATGTGATCATTCCTAGCAATAACAGTGTTTGAATGTTTGAACTGGTTACAAATTGTTATTTCTAATAGTTGTTAAGTTATATAAGTATTGCACTTTTACAACTTAAATTCTATTAATTGAATAGTACTACAGTGAACCACAACTTAAATAACATTTGTGAATCCAATACAAAAAATCTAATTTAACATTAGAAATATTCTGACAAATGTTTTCAATCAATACTGATTTGTATTTCAATCAATAAATGATTTGTAGAACATAAATGACCTGAAGATGATCAGTATTGATCGAAAATGTTTGTCAGAATATTTCTACTGTTAAATTAAATTTTTGTACAGGATTTATAATGGTTATTTAAGGAAACATACACCAAATATACTTGGAACCAATAAAACTATTTAATAACATGGACATTTTCATCCATAACCTACAACTATCATCAGGTATAATGAGTACTGAACAGAACAACTTTAAGCAATCAAATAATGGTTTTGAGTATACTTAGTGTGATGTTCATTATATACAACCAGTTTTTGGAAGAAGGGAAAGGGTTATTTGTTATTTAAGCTGTGATTTACTGCACTTTTACAATTTAATAATTACCTGTTCTTCAAAAGAAACAACTCTTGGTTGTACTCTGTCCAGAGTAAAATGTGAAACTGTTTTCGAAATGTCATCAGTTAATCTAGTCAGATGATTGCCAACGTCAGTCAGTAACTGTCTAGAAATTACTAAACTCACATTTTCATTGACAACTAAAATAAAAATTAAATTTATTATTTTTACTTTTACTAATTTACTATTACTAATAATACTATTTTAACAAAAAAATCTCTTTATTACTTTTAATAAAAAAAAGTTTACTTATTGTGAATATACAAATTTGAATCAAATTTTAAGAATCAAATATGAATAACTTTAAACTAAACAATAAACTGTTAATCTACAGCTATTGACAATCATCAAATTGCCTCAATACACTTATTAATACACAGAATACATTCATTAATGTGACTCCATACATTCAGTATTCACTGAATGCTAAGCAAACATTTGGCCAATATTGAGTGGTGTGAATGATTTACTCATGATTGACAAATATTCAGTATTTGCCACTTCCCATTCCTGCCAATATACTATGCCAAATCAAAAAAGGACAAATCTCGGATAAACATTTGTAATTACTATAATGAACCAGTGAATAATCAATGTGTGCATAAGTGCTTGCTATATGACAAACACTTTGGCAAAAGGCAATTATTTGGCAATCAGTGAGCAGTGAATATGTGGAGTCACTTTTACATACATATATCAATACAACAAAGCATATGGTATTACAATTGATTATCTTCATCAAAATTTAATTTTGAGAATACTCAATTTAAATTAAAGCTTGAAAATTCAACTACATTCTTAAATAATATAATTTAGAATAAAATTTTACATTAAATATGATAAAATGAACAAAAATAATGCTCATTCATCTTAAATGTTTAAAATCATTAAAATGTTTACATGTTTTAAATTTTATTGATTTTTGAATTAAAATCTGCTTTTTTTAATACATGAAATATTAAACTTTTTAATTAATAAGATTATGAAATTTGTCCTTAAAGCAGACAATTAAGCTACCATCTTACTTGTTAGCACAAGCTTCTATAATTTAGTTAAAAATTACTTTATTTCTAACCAAAAAATATTCCAACTTTGATATGTTTAACTATTAACAAAATTAACAAGACAAATTAATTTTGGTGTATATATTTAAGGTAATTTTTTGATTAATTATTTAATTTTTATATACTCAAACTTAAGTTAACCTCATGTAATTATTGTTCATTTTATTTACAAAATATTTTATTTAATTTTTTTATTAAACTCAAAAGAGAATCTACAAACAACAATCAAATTATTTTTTGGTGAGATCACCTTCAGTGTAACAACTGTTGAAAAAATAAATTGATTAAATAATTATATATATACATGTTAACATTATCAGTTTCAGCAAGTCCTAATATGTACAATAAGTGAACAATACTGTATATATTTTGTACAGAACCATTTTTTATATTTTGTATTGAGATATATTTTGTAGAGAGAAGTTTGAACTGAACTATTTTTCTCAATAATTTTTCACATAGAAAAAATTAGAATGAATTATTTTCTCTTAAGAGTTTTACATCTGATGATAAATCTTTATTGAACTTTACCTAACTTAAATATAATTATTATTTTATCACTTTACATGTAAGAATAGTGCATTCTTTAATTTTTAAAATAATAAACTACATTCATAAATGTCAACGGGATGAAACCAAATATGCATAAAATCGTACTTACTAACCTTTACTGTCCAGTACTTCTTAACTATTTGTAAAAATAAACGTTTTCGGCCTCAGTCGAGGTCTGCTTCAGGTTAAAAGGACAATCGGATTCCATTCTTAGAATGAACGTTTAGTTTTAAAATATTCGAACTCATGCACGAATACAATTTTATGCAAAATACTGGTATTCAGATTAGAAGATTTGTAACCAAATATGCATCTGCATTTAAAAATGGCAGAATACTTTAACATATTTATTACATTTATTTCTATGGTAATTTCTCATTACATTATTATACAAGAACTTATATTTCTATATTATTGCATTGATTAAAAAAATGTGAAAAAACTTTCAGATCAAAGAATCTAAGATACAACACCTGTCTATATATGATAGACTTCACTATTGTACTCATTATAGGACTTGCCTAAATTGGTAACATTAAATAAGGTAAGACAACAATTAGAGTCAATGAAACCAGAATCAACACGTACCTGAACCAGTTACTGGTGTTGGAGAAAAGATAAATAAAAATCGTAAATGTTTTCTCCAACACCGGTAACTGGTTCAGGTACGTGTTGATTTCGTTTTGTGAATGTAGATGAAACCAGAATTTTATCTAACATTAAAAGGACATGTTGAAAGAGTTAAAAAATGTATAGTGTAAAGATTTACCAATTAATATTTAATTTGTATAATATTGTATGCTGTTATAGACCTTAACAACAGCTAGTGTAATACCAGCAATTTAAACTACTTTTTTGATAATGATAACTATAATCTAACTCTGATTACAACAATCAAAGTCTACTGTATTTCATATCAAATAATCAAAGCTTGAAAATATTCTAGCACACATTACTTGAAACAATAGCTATTATAATGAATTGTTGCCCTCTTGAGCATATTCACTCAGTTCATTTGTGTGGCTTTCAGTTCATTTCAGCTTAAGTCTATATTTTATCTCAAAACATTTTTATCAGTTTTTACAGCACTATCTGTCATTCGATTTGACTTAAGATATATTGAACTACTTAAATTATGCCTAATCCCCATTCATTTACAAACTGTAATATTTGTAAGAACTATATAGCATGGGTGATCTAGCTACTGTGATTAAATTAATTAACTTAATTAAAAAGTAGCTTAAAGTTATCAAAAATGTTTGTTTGTTTTTAATTACATTCTCACAAATTTTTCTTGGAGTTTTGATTCTATTAGTGTTTACATAATTAATGCACCTTTAACAGTGGTTTTTGATTTATTGAAATTTATCACTGAAAATGCATACAAGCATTTTCAATGATGCACTCACAGCAGCATTTCTCTTCAGATTCTCAAATTATTCTGATGGCAATAATTTATAAAAGTTTAGTGGGTCAGTGTCCTTAAATTTTTGTCAGTTTTGTGAGAATCTGATATTTGTAAATCAGTACATTCCAGATGGAAGTCTTCAGAACTGCATCATCATGTACAGTATAATATATGGATTTCCAAACAGCTCAAAAATAACATTATGATTTTCAGATTCTGTGAATCTCTGATCAAAAGAATTTTGAGGTATTCCAATTTAATGAGTACAGTTCATTTTCATTTCTGAAACTTGTTTTTTATCCTATTTCAACAAAGAAAATGAGCAAAGTTTTGACTATCATAGTACTTGCTTCATTGACTTACTTTGACTTTCAAGTTGTAAGATAAAATTTTATTTTAAAGTCAGACTAATATTAGTTACTTGGAAAATAAATTAGTTTTTTCACAGCAACTTAGTTTATTTATATGACCATTTATATCAACAAGAAGTGCCAAGTCACATTGAAAACTACACTGCTCCAACAGCCTTATTGGTTTATCATTTTTTTATAGGAATGAAATTACTTCATCAAATACATCTCAAACCTTTTTAGTGCATCACTACAATTGAGCCAATGCACTTCTTCAATGAGGTTAATTTGTAGAGTTGTGGACAAGAGTAGATGACTTGCAACTTGCCTTCCAGATAGTCCAGGAGAGATAATGGGTTCCTTGTTCCCTCCAGATGAAATGATGATGAGAGTCAAACTGTAAACAGAATATGACTCCAATTATCTTGTCGCAATGAATGATTCTGTCTACAGAAGTTCATACAATGGCTTCTGTGAGAGGAGATAAGAGATATACAAACCACAGGTCTTCTGGCATATAGGCATACATCATGAAGTCTACAGTATACAGTTTGTCTTGACACATTTATCCCAGTGGCTGCAGAGAGCTCTGAAGACAGTGCCTGGCAGTATATGTTCTATGATATCTCATGATTAAAGCTAAATAAGTCTTCCCTTGGCACTGTGGTCCTGGGGCAACCTGACTAGGTCTTCTTAAAACACCAGTCTCACTGAACTGTCACCACAACCAAGAAACCCTAGGACGGATATTCAATGCCCTCACAACTCAAGCATAGAGTAAGCAATCACATGCAATAAAAACCTTTTTGCACTCACTGAGAATGAGAAAAACCCATCATATTGTAAGTTTTGTTTATATAGACAATTTATTTTGTATATTTGTTGTGTTTCTACTTCCCAATAGGCAAATTTAAAAATGCATTATGTTCCTTAACTTACCTTGTACATACACAAAAACATTTGTAATATTTTATTTGGTTATCTTGATAATATATCTAAAATTAAAGTCTTCTAACCTGATTACCGGTGTTAATGAACACTCCCACTCAACGAACATTTATCTCCGGTAATGCTCAATTTTTGGGAACAAATGTTTTCAGCCTCACCTGAGGTCTGCTTCAGGTTAATTGAAAAAGGATTCCTAACTTAGAACAACTTTCCTTGAAACAACTTTGGAATATTTTATTGTCCCTTAATAAATTTTCCAAACTTTATAAAAAATTAATAAACTGGAAAAACAGTTTCAGAAATTAGAAATTGTTTTGTTAGGTGATCAAAATTATTAAAATGAAAAATGATAGATAAATAACTTCATATTAATTCAAATGGTGTTATCATTTTTGGTTCTTTATCATTTTTTTCATCAGTTCATTAACACCTTTTCTCAAATTGAAAGTGTAAATTGTGAGATAGAGAGTTAAAATATTTCAAAAAATTTTATCAACATTAGATTATTAAGAGTATTAGATTTTTCTCTCTAACTTATAATACTATATAATTAATATAGCAGTTTTAAAATCTAAAAGTATTTAAAAATTTAATAATAACAATTGATATCGTTGTATGCTTGTATATTTTGTGTGCTATAATTATGGGAAAATTTTGTATATGTTTGGATGAAATTTTAGATCCTGAAAATATTCTTCATCCCTTTTCATAAGTTGCATTGTACCACAATATTTCTTGCTGCCTGCAGACAGCTTTACTTAGTCAGTCATACTGTCACCAAACAAAATCAACAAGGCAACCAAGGAAACAAATTTCCT